CTTTTGTGAAGAGTTGCAGGAAGCCTATCACGTTTGCCCAAAACCTGGGTTTCCAAAAGCCTCAAGAGAAATGGGCCGCCTGGTTCTAGTAACTGTTAGGTTTTATGGCTACACATGTGTTCCTTCCTCTTCTACACTCAGATCTACCTGATACTTCCATTTTAATAGCCATCTTTGAGGGGCTGAGCGGAGAGAAGTATTTATTGTTTGTTTTGTGTTTTTCTTTGGAGAGGCACCCTCTGCCTGGGGCTCTCCAGGGGGGTCTGGAACCCGTGGAGGCCTCCCTGATGCTGCTCCCCAGGCTCCTCTCCCCTGGAGGCCTGCTTCCTGGCGGGTCCAGAGCTTTCAGTTCAGGCCACGGGGGGAGCAAGACCTGGCCAGTGGTTTGACCTCACAGGGTTTTCCCTGAACCCCGTCCAGGCCCAGTGCTGCATGCCTGCTGGGCGACCCTTGAGTCCCTCCTCGTAGACATGGCTTTCTCTTGGGCTCCGAAGTCCTCAGAGCTCCCCCTCTTTGTAGGGGCTGCTTTTCCCGAGAGCCCTGGGCCTACAGGTTTGCTGAGAGGGAGAAAAGGAACGTAGGACTTTCAGCCAGAAAGCCTGGACTAGAATCCCAGATTAGAACTCCACCGATTCCGAGCCGTCCACCTGGAAGTGGGGGTGACCGAATCCGCCTCAGAGAGTGCGGGAGGATTAATGGGCTCCCAGCAGGCACTCCCAGTCGCTCAGCGCCTGTCTCAGGGCCTCTTCCCTTCCCGTCCTTCCCTCCTCGGTCCTGGCCCTCGGGCTGGAGCACAGCTGCAGCAGTCACCCGACCCCCAAAAGCAGATGCTGTACAGCTGCAACGAGACCCTTGCCTCTGCGCTGCCGGCCTTTTATGGTCTCTTGGCGTTTTGTGGCCTCACATCCCACAGCAATGAAATTTCTAAATTTCGTTCTCTCTCTCCAGGCCTCCAGTTCTTCCTCATCCTTCACTTTAGGGAAAATAATCTCCCTCTCCCTTCTTCCCTCCTCTTCTCCTCCCTCCTTCCCTCTCTCCCTCCCTCTGAGCCAGAGGAGCCTGCCCCCCCTCCCCCGCCAGCCCTGAGTGCAGGGCATCTCCCCTGCCACCCCCTCTGTGCCCTCGCAGCCCTCTGGTTGAGGCTGTCATCTTGTCCCCCCACGGGGGTTCCAGAGGGGAGGGGTCTCCCCCTCTTCCTGCCCAGCGCCTCCCCAGCCTCTGCAGCCTGGTTCCCTCTGTGCCTCCCAGGGCGAACTTCTTGCTCAGCCAGATGCTTTCCCGCTCCTTCTGCCTGACCTACCTCAGTCCTTGCCCCTCTCAGCTTTTGGGACGGGTAGTGTCCTGGTTTTCTCTGTCTCCCCTAATGGGGTGGAGTGAGAGGGCTCCCCGGGCATGGCTCTGGATGCCCCTCATTTTTCATGAGTTCTCCTTGGTGAGCTCATCTGTCCTGTGGCTTCATGTGGCGCCACCCAGTCTCCACACCTGCACCTGCAGCCGCTCCTGGACCCTCGGGGTGAAGGGGACAGTAACTTACCTACTTCCTGGGAGCTGGGTTAAATGAGTAACACTGTCACACTGCTCTAGACGTACTTTAGTAGGTGCAGTAGAGGTGTTCACTGCTGCCACCTGTGTGTGGGCCCCGAGTGACTGCCCCTGTCTGCCTCCCCCTGATCTCTTAACCTGTGCCCTGATGCCGCCATGACAACCCGGTCCTTCCAACTCTCCGAGCAGCCCCTCCTCTCTCTGACCTCCTGCTCCTTCTCATCGGGGGTCCCTGTTTGGAAAGCCGCAGTTCCTCTCCTGCCCCCTTCCCCACCCTGCCTGACGCGGACACTCAGTTAGGTTCCAGGTAGGGTCCCTTTCTCTGGAGAATTTGCCTGGCTTCTATGTCTGGCTTGTGGCCACTGCTGTGCACCAGCACCCTGCCCTTCCCATTGCAGTGACACTGACCAGAACGAGCCCGTTTGTCCCCCACGAGGCCGTAATCCGGGCGGGTGCTCTGTCGGTCTCTTTGTCACAGTGTCCCAGGGCTGATAGTACAGTCTGAGCAAACAGACGAACCCACCCATCCTTCCAGGCCACCCGGCGCCAGCACACAGTGTGTGCTCACAAACACACTCACCTCTCACCTGGACAGAGCAGGTCTGTTCTGGGGGGCACTCCCGAATGTGTGGAGAGCCTGCGGATGGAGGCGGGGGCCTCTGGCTTCCTCGGAAGGGGAGCTGCCCAGCACCCCAAAAGGGGAAGGATGCTAACATGTGCTTTCACTGTTGTAGGCCAGCTCCAAGGGCCTCATAGGCATCCCGTTACATTTGTTGTTTTAGGAACTTGAAGTCTGCCTCCCAGAGGTGAGATGACCAAGGTCACAACAGGGGAAGGGAAGCTAGGCCGCTGGTCTGGTCTGTTAATTACTTCCCATCACAGTGAAAGTTTAACCGTGTCCTCAGTGAGGCCCGGCCTGTGCCCAGGGCTGTGAACAGAACACTCTCCCCCGGGAACAGAACAGAGTGAACAGAACACGTCATGGTCCCGTGGCCCAGCCATGCGGACGCCCACCCTGCGTGGTGTCGTCGGCTGGCTCAGCCACGCTCGGAGTGGGGCTGTGAGCCCGCATTCGTTACCGTGACTTTGTGCTCATACAGCAGTTACAGGCATCCTCCGGCACCCCTTCCCACCATGTGACTCCGAGGGCTCTGGGCCAGGAGGAGTGGGAACGGGCCGCAGGTGAGTTTTACCCGCTCTGCCCGCTGACCCCTGGCATGGCTGGCATTGTGCCCTGGTGTGCATAGCCCGGAGGGGACTGCCTGCCTCCCCAAGTCTTGGGTTGTATGTGGCAGCTGTAGTTGAACCGTAGGTCTGTTTGAAGCCCTTTCACTGAGTTGGTCGCAGCGGTTCTCAACCTGTGGGTCGTGACCCTTTCCCAGGGGTCACCTAAGACCATCGGAAAACACATATATAATTACGTATTGTTTTTGTGATTAATCACTATGCTTTAATTATGTTCAATTTGTAACAATGAAATTGGGGGTCACCACAACATGAGGTACTGTATTAAAGGGTTGCGGCATTAGGAAGGTTGAGAACCACTGGGAGAAAGCAGGTGGCCTGGTGGGCAGTGAGCAGCGGGTCTGGCCCAGGTCCTAGTCCTGTTTCCTCCAGCATGTGTATAACTGCCCTGGGCCTCCCTATCCTCTGCTGGAATATTCTGGGCCCCCATGACCTAAAAATCTGCCAGGCAGAAATGCAAAAATGTGAGCGTTATATTATTTTTACTTTTTGGACCATAAGGGTACCCTGTCATTCGTGAGTAGAGTCCCAGCTTCCTCCTTGTGCTATCAGAGGCCTTCATGTCCGGGCCCTGCCTGTTGCCCGTTGCCCGTCTCATTCCTTATTGCTCCCTGTTGCCCCCTCTGGGCCAGCCACACCACGCTGGTCGGGACAGGATAGATGGGAGCAGGTGCAAGCCAGGCCCAGTGTGGTGGTGTCTCCCCGAACTATTTCTGGGACCCCAGGTCTTGTCTCCAGGTGGGGACAGGGTGAGCTCATCTTTTACTCACCAGGGAGCCTGTCCCGGTGGTGAAAATCCAACTGGAGGCCAGGCTGTTATAAATGCTCCCCAGGCCGCAGGGACCCCTGCATGTACACCTCCTACCCAGGCTGGACCCCAACCTTAAGAAGGAAGGCACAGTCTTATTTCCTGGTTCCTCTGGACAGTGCTGGGAGCAGGTCTGGGGCCCGCCTCTGATGGACAGCCCTGGGAGCAGGTCTGGGCCCCGCCTCTGATGGACAGCCCTGGGAGCAGGTCTGGGGCCCCGCCTCTGGTGGACAGCCCTGGGAGCAGGTCTGGAGCCACTGCCTATGACACTCTGTGCATTGCCGCTAAAGCCCCCTGGGGATGAGAAACAGAGGTGCGGAATGTCCGGGCAGACGACTGGATTTCTTGATGCTGCCCAGCGAGGCTCCTTTACTGTTAATATAGAAGAAATCCTAAGTAACATGTGGCCTTTGCCAGCTCACCTGGAGCTGCCCTGTGTTCTTGCCGACTTCTGTTTCTGGCATAAGAAGGGGGAAATCTCGCAGCGTTTGCGTGTGCTAACTGTGGAAGCCTTTCTGTGGTTGGAACTTGTAAGACAGCAGTCGGGGCTCCAGGAACACCAGCTCCGCCTACTACCAGTTGTGTAGTTTTCGGGCAAGTTGGGTGACTGACTTGTCCCAGTTCGCCTGGGACTGTCCCAGCTTTAGCCTTGAAAGTCCTGTGTCCTGAGCACCTCTTGGTCCTGGCCAAGCTGGGATGGTTGGTCACGGTACAACTTGGATCGTGGATGTAATAGGATAGTGCGTGTGGAGTGCTCGGCAGGTGCCTCCGTTTTTAGAGCTGCTGTCATAAGGGGCCCAGAACCACAAAAGTTTATTGTCTCGGTTCTGGAGGCCGAGGTCTGAAATCACAGTGTCCGTAGGGCCGTGCTCCCTCTGGCCCCCTGCTGGCTGCTTCCTGGCTTCCGGGAGTTTGCTGGCAGTCTCTGCTGTTCCCGGACATGTTGATGCCTCATTGTAATCCTCCGTCTTTACATGGCGCTCTTCCTGCACCCCTGTCCCGGCCTCCAAATTTCCCCTTTCATAAGGACCCGTCATATTGGCTTAGGGCCCATTTCATTTTTACTTGGTTCCCTCTGTAAAGACCCTGTTTGAAAGGAGGTCACATCTGCGGCACCGAGGGTGGGGGTCAGGACTTCAGTGTATCTTTTGGGGGACACAGTTTGACTCACAGCAGCAGGGTTAGCTATGGACTATCATTGCTATTTGTATCATTATCTTCGCAATCATCGAGAAACAAGAACATGGAAGAAAGAGCTCCTGCACCCAGGAAGGGAAAAGGCAGGAGGCCCCATCATGTCACAGAGAGGAGCTGGCCGGCGATTGGAATTCCATGTCTGAGCCATTTCAGTGCAAAGGCTCTGGGCACAACCCCTCTAACCCCCGGCTTTTGCTGTTTGGTGTAGATGGAGCAGATGAGGAACGAGCTGCTTCAGGAGAGAGCTGTGAGGCAAGACTTGGAGTGTGACAAGATTTCCCTGGAGAGACAGGTGAGGGCAGCTGGCCCCCTGAGCCCTCCCCACCCCCCCTTTGCACAGCATGCAGAGATGACGGGGCCAACCTTGCCCAAGAGAGGTATTTCTAAAACCATCTCCAGCCAGAATTTTCTCATATTAAATATGCTTGGAAGTTTGCAGCTGGGGGAGGTGGCATTGCAAGTGTTTTCTAGATGCTAAAACGGGCTAAATTCTAATGGAAAGGGAAAAATAAAGAACTAGTATTATCAAACACGAGTTGCTAACCAAGCTTACTTACTCATTATTTCTTTCACATGCTGTTCATGTAAGTTCCTCACTGAAAATGATGTGTGATATTGGGGAAGGGGCCTATTTCTCCTGCCAATAGGTTTATGAGAGGCCAAGGTCATTTGTCTGATAAGAGTGCTAGGCCATGGCAAAGATTTCACTCAGGCTTATACGCGAATGTGACAGAATCTCTCCTTTTGGCCTGCCAGGGCTGGGGTGCCAAGCCATTCCCTGGAAACATCCCTGGCTCCCTGGTCCCCCGGGTCACCCGTCCTGGTGGGGGAAGCGGGCTCATCGCGGTCACTGACCGAACGCTGGCTCCACCTGTGATCTGCTCTGCAGAGTGTGAGGTGGACACACAGCCCCTCACTGTCTCCCTGTCTGATTCCAGAACAAGGACTTAAAGAGCCGGATTATGCACCTGGAAGGTTCCTACCGGTCCAGCAAAGAGGGGCTGGTGGTGCAGTTGGAGGCCAGGATCGCGGAGCTGGAGGACCGGCTGGAGAGCGAGGAGAGGTGAGCCTGCCCAGCTGCGGTGCGAGGCCTGGCGGGCGGTGGGCATCGCATTGCAGAGTGCTTTACATTTGCATCTTCCCAGAGGCCTTCATGTGAGGAGGGCAGAGCAAGTACAGCCTCGCTGTTATTATTTCCACTTGACAGATGAGAAACTGAGACCCATCCAAGGAAGTACTTGGGAAAGGTAGCCTGGCTGAATATTGGTTTAAAACCCAGGACTCCTGCTCTTTGTCCATAGCATTTTCACTGTTCCTTGCTGCTTATTCCCGTCCCCTCCGTGGGACAGGCTGCCTCATAAACCATGAGTTTGAGCCAGATTAGAGGCAAGGGGACTGGCTCTGCCCTGAGGGCCAGTGTATTCACTCCGCTTAGCAGAGGCCGAGCGGCCATCTGTCAGAGCTGGCAGGTCGCCCCACAGTGGGTGGGAGGAACATGGCATCAGGCGACCACACACCTTTCCAATAGCAGGATTCTTTGCAGCTAGTTCTCCCTTTGCAGCCCAAGGACCAGCACCAGGTTGAACTTGACCAGCCTCAGTTCTTACTTGTGGCCCCTCTCCTTCTGGGAGGGGTGTGGGTGTGCATATGTGTGGGTACGACATGTCATATTCCTATTAGCAGTAGGACTTCTGGAGGCTGGGCTGGAGCAGCCTATAGTCAGTCGTAGCCTGGCCGTGACCTCTGTCTTACAAAGTGCTCAGGACAGGAAGAACCCAGGGCAGGTCTAGTCCCAGCTCAGCCCCTCGCTGGCTCTGCAGCCTGGGGCAGGTCACTCCCCTTCTTAGAGGCCCTGTTTCCTCATCGGTCTGATGACCAGCCCTTTCCTCCTGTAGTCGAGTGTCTCTCTGACCCTCAGCCCTGAGTGGACCAGGCAGCTCTGGCTGGGGCTCGCCCTCCTGCACAGCCTGGGCCGGGCCTCCTGTGGGGCTGGGCCGAGAGAGCCCTCGGTTTTGCTTCCTCCATCCTTCCAGGGACCGGAACAGCCTCCAGCTCAGCAACCGCCGGCTGGAGCGGAAGGTGAAGGAGCTGGTGATGCAGGTGGACGATGAGCACCTGTCGCTGACTGATCAGAAGGACCAGGTGAGGGACCCTCTGCAAGTTCATTTCAGATGAATCTGTATGTCCCAGGCTGGGAAGCAAGAGGGCAGCGAGGCCTCTGTGGGGGGGGCGAGGGAACTATTGTGAACCAATCCCTGTCTTTCCAATCCACCCCGTTCCCCATTGAATGGGGCCTCTCTGACCTTTAGTGAAGGTCTCAGCCAACTTCAAACCCTGAGCTTGACTTGTAGAAAGCGGATTGGTCTGTCACAGAGGCTTATCTCCACTTTCCCATGAGACTGGATAGA